GGGTGGGGGGAGAGAAAACCCTTGTCACGTCGCAAGGTGCCAAAGCAATCAATAGTCATTCCAATATCATACGAGTCAATTTGAACCTGTCATGAACGGCGCTCACTTGATCGCAGCCCGAGCTGATAAATGGGTCACTCAGAAAGCATATTTATAGCAAGGGCACACACACAAACACACAAACACACACACATATGTTTATGCGTGTTGGAAATAAGGGGAGGGAAGCAGGGCCAAGGAATTTGGGAGTCCAGAGATGGTATGTTGGCAATCCCTTAGGGTTAAATTTTAAGTTTGACATTTGGTTTGAAAGCTGGAGTAGTGGTTTGAGCATTGGACTATGACTCTGGAGACCAGGGTTCAATTCCCATGAAAACCCACAAGGTGACCTTGGGCAAGTCACACACTCTCAGCCCCAGAAGACTCCATCTTAGGGTCGCCACAAGTTGGAAACAGAACAGCAACAACAAAAACTGTAAATGAAGAGGTGTGAAATCAGAAAAAGGTGATGAGCTTGGGCTAAATCCATGGCCAGCTCTTTGGAGGCTGAGTGGGGCAGAGACCTCAAGTGCAGCTCTGGGGCTCAGGTGCAGCTTTGTGATGCACCTTTGTCCAGTGACAACACTATATATACAGTTGGCCCTCCACATTTGTGGCTTTGATTTTTGTGGCTTTATTTGTGGTTTTGATTAATATGTTCTCTCTAGGAATCTCTAGGTCCTCCAGCACAACTCTGCCAGAAGTTGACCATAGAATTGTGATGGAGAACCTAGAAATTCCTAGAGAAAACACTTTTCTAGGCAGTTGTAGGTCCTCCAGCATGATTCTAGGATCAACGACTGCCAGTTGCACTGGAGGACCTGGAGATTCCTAGAGAGGTGTTCTCTCAGGTTAAAAAAAGGGTTTTATTTGCAGTTTTTCACATTCATGGGGGTCCTTCACCCCTGACCCCAGCGAGTGTGGAGGAACCCCTGTACTTTTTTGGTTAGCAGATCAACCAAAGCCGCTCAATCCCCAAACAGTATCTTGCATGAGTCCTTCTGAATGTCTGGTCTTTCTCCCTCCTGGGATGCAATCCCAAAAGCAAGAAACCTTTATGCCTTGTGAAATGCAGGGAAGAGGAAAAAGGCCATTCCTATAAGCTGTGTCTCTTCCCCCTCCTTGCTCCTTCGACTCCCGTTGGAGAGCCGCAACGATCTTACAGGCCTGTTATCTACCGAACACTTGGCACTTCATAAATATTAAACTATGACATTATGGACCAGGGAGCAGGGAGTCTGTAAACCCAAGAAATCAAAGCTGGATAAATAACCAATCAACACCTCTGGCTATCAGTCAAACCGAGGCCTATGGGGGGGGGGGGGTAAGTGTCTTTGCCATACAATGAAATAAAACAAAATTGCAAATCCACAAAACAGTGGTACATTTACTGGCCACCTAAAATGCACACAATGTGTCATGCAAGCTTCTGGAGCTTCACTGGCTTCTTCATCAGGCATAGATGTTTAAAATCGTATAGGAGAAGACAGGTGATGATGTGAGAGTCGCAGGCCGATATTTTGTCTCAGGTTGTTGTCAGTTAAGAAGGTCTGGAGAGATCTCACTGAACGTCAATGCCATTCCTCTTCTTGGCCATGTGGAGAGTCAAAGGGCAAGAAAAGACAGGAAATAAAATTTCAACTCCATTAGCAACAGAAAAGTAACTTCCCTTGAGATCCAGGCTGTCCTGTGTGAAGCTGCAGGCGTCTTTCTTAGGTGGAGAACACTGAAGGGATGCCATATTGAGAATGGAGCAAGCTTGTTTTCTGTTGCTCCAGGGATCTGGATGCAGAGTAATGGATTCAAACTACAGGAAAAGAGATTCCTCCAAAATGTTAGGAAGAACTTCCTGAGGGTAAGACATGTTCAACAGTGAAATATTCTGCCTTGGAGAGTGGTGGAGCCTCCTCCTTTGGAGGTTTTTAAACAGAGGCTGGATGGGACTGCTTTGATGGCGTCTTCTTGTATGGCAAAAGGGAGTTGGAGTGGATGGCCCTTGGGTTTTCTTCCAACTCTATGATCCCATGATTTCCAACTTTTGGTGTCATGGACTTGGACGGTCACTCAGGCCAGGAAATGAGTTTGGGTTCTCCCTCATGAGCTTTTCCTGAAGATGCTTTCTTCTCAACCTCGCAGTTGTTCTCCTCAGCATCTCCGCCATCCCCCCTCTCTCTTCCATCCGTCTGTGTCTCTGCCGTCAGGTCAAGCTCAGCCCCCGTGGGCTCCCGTAATGGATCTACTTGAGCTCTCCTGCCAACCTCACCCGGACGCTGACGGGAAAGCCGGCCTGTCTCAGACACTCCAGGGTCCTTTTTCTGTGGATTTGTCTTCCTGAGACCCGGACTCCCTGAAGACTAGAGGCTGGAGAGAAGAGAACAAGCTTGGTATTTCCAGTAGCTGTTTTGCTTCCTCGAGGCCTTGATGTGGAAAGACATTTATCAGAAGAAAACAGGCAGCAGGGAATCAGCAGAGTTGGTCAGAGAAAATAGGGGTAGAGAAAGGGAAAGAGATGGGGAGAACCCAAAAGCCACCCTGCCCAGAAAAAGGACCCAACACTCCCTTAGGATGATCACTTTGGGTTTCTTGCAATCCTCTTCTAATTCTTTCAGGTTGTTGTTGTCTGCCTTCAAGACATTTCTGACTTATGACGACTCTATCTCACAGGGCTTTCTTGCCAGGTTTCTTCAGAGAGTGTTTACCACTGCCATCCTCTGAGGCTGAGAGAGTATTACTTGCCCAAGTTCACCCAGTGGGTTTTTATGCTTGAACCCAGAGTCATAGCCAAACACAACACCATGCTGGCTGGCTCTCTTGTGGTTTACTAAGGCCCCTCAATCCTTATCACATGTGTTGCTTTCAAGATAGGTATCACCCATCCTATATCTGAACCTTTCATTTTTCTCCTTCTTTCCAAGATGTAGTACCTTACATTTGTTTTGTTAGTTTTCTCTGAAGCTCTTCCATCTTAAATACCGGAGGAATTTGCAGCTTTGGGTCAGTCCTGATCAAAGCATGAACCAAAATAATGGACTCCCACCTCCCTACATGTGAATAGTTGGGTTTCTCAAGCAGACAGAGCGATGCGTTGATCTCCCACCAGGTCTTCTCTTCAGGGCCTCTCCAAAGAGCCAGTTGCCCAAGGCATCTGATGTTTCCGCAGCTGCTGCTATGTCATATCCACTCTGCTCTGGATCACAGGCGATGGGTTGTCAGGAGGCCACAAGAGAGGAATCATGAGGGAAGGATGCTACAATGGTGGGATGGGAGAAAGAGAAGCTGGTGATGCTGATTGTGCAAGAGAAAAAGACGAGGAACAAAGGGAAAGGTGATGGGAGAGGAGGGTAGTGCCCAAGTTTTGCTCCTCTGGATGTTTTGGTCTTGGACTGAACTCCTGCATCCTCTTGGCAGTGTAAAAGGCCGAGATTCGTTACCATAGCTGCAAATCCATAAAGTTATGCATCTGTAACTGATTCATTTTCACAATTGGGGCAATAGCACAGGGGATACATAGTCCCCCAATTGTGAGAGCCAGCGTGGTGCAGTGGTTCGAGTGCTGGACTGCAATTCTGGAGACCAGGGTTTGATTTCCAGCTGGCCATGAAACCAACTGGGTGACCTTGGACAAGTCTCACACTCTCAGCCTCAGTGGCAGGCAATGGCAAACCTCCTCTGAAGAAACCTTCCCAAGAAAACCCCATGATTGCCATAAGCTGGAAATGTTGAAGGCACACAATTACAGCAACAAGCCTCTGTGAGCAACAGAGGTCTGTTCTCCTATCAATTGGGGTGCATCAGACTGATGTTTCCATCCTTCTCCTGCCAGAGATCTCTGGTGCAAGGAGGAATTACAACAGGGATCTCACTTCTGTTTGTTGAACTGGAGGTTGCTGGAGGGAGGAGGTAAAACCTCAATCTGTTGCACCCTGATCGGCAGGAGAACAGATTCCCATCACACACAGCAGCTGATGCCCAGAAAGTTTTGGAGGGGTCAGGCCAGGAGATGCAACTTACATACTTAGTATACTTAACAAAGTAGCGTCTCCTGAGCCAACTCTTCAATCTTGCTTTACTGGACATCGGCAGCTGTGAGTGACAGAGCTCATTTCTCCTGTCAATCAGAAGAAATTAAGTATATTTGACTAGGAAGCTGATCTAGAAATTTGGCCAACATCTGCTGTTGGAGTTATGCTTCATCAGCACTACACCATCTCTGTATTGAATACCACTGTTGCACAACTATAAGAAATGGTGAATGCATATACCTGTCGCCTCATTGCAGCATGAATGAACCGAGGCGGTATGTCATGTGCAAAGTGTGCATGGATACACTACTGTAGGTGGTATATTTTGTAATTGCAGGGGTTCCAAATGCAGAATTCTCCCTCTTCCATCAGCAGCTGGATGTGTCCATTCTGCATGGCCCAAAAAAGAAACTATGCGTTTCTTTATAAGAAACTCTATATACAATTGGCTCTCCACATTTGCAGCTTTGACCATTGCAGATCTGATTATTTGCAGTTTTGATTAATATGTTCTCTCTAGGAATCTCTAAATCCTCCAGCGCAACTCTGCCAGAAGATGACCATAGTGTTGTGATGGGGAATCTAGAAGTTCCTAGATAAAACACATCTCTAGTTATCTGTAAGTGCTCCAGCATGATTCTGTTATTTACTTCTGGCAGATGTTGGCCACAGAATTACACTGGAGGGTCTGGAAATTCCTAGAGAAAAGGTGTTCTCTTAAGTAAAAAGAATAGTGGTTTTTATATTTGTGGGTTTCCCACATTCACAGGGGTCCTTCACCCTTAACCCCAGTGAATGTAGGGGGACCACTGTAACTTCTTTATAAACTCTCTATAAATTCTGATTTCAGAATTTGGCTCCAGTCGTCTCTTCCTCCTCCTCCTCCTCCTCCTCCTTTTTCTTCTCCTCTCCATCCCTCTCTCTTCCACATGATCCACATCTTGTCGTCCCCTTCTATGGCCTGAAGGCATCTTCCATATTTTATAAGTGTCTGCATTTAGTTCAGGCAAGGGACTTGGGGATCTGGTGGTGTGATGTTCACACAAGGAATACCCAAGGCAACACAATGTTCATGACTTGCCCATCACCCCATATCTATTCTGCTATACGCAGATGATGCTGTTCTATTATCTTACACTGAAACTGGCCTGAGAAGACTACTGAGACAATTAGCTATATACTGCCCTAACGAAGCCCTAACACTAAATTATAATAAAACCAAATACAAATAAATGATGTGACAATCAAGCAGGTAAATAGCTTTAAATATCTAGGAGTAATCTTTCAGGCTTCAGGGGCATGGAAACTCCAGGCAGAATTGGCAATAAAAAGTGTATATAGGAATATGATTGCTCTGTGGAGCTTTTTCTATACTAGAGGAGGATAATATATACCCGCTGCCATGCAAGCTTTTGAAGCCAAAGTCATCTCAGTTTTACTATATGGAGCCCAAATCTGTACTTATACCGTAATAACTTTGATCAGTTTGAGATATTACAGACAAAATTTCTGAGAAGTATATTTTCAGTGCCGTATTGTGTGTTGAATGTAGGAATGTGCCTTGAGGTGGACCTGATCACCATCAAAGCACAAACTTGGATTCTGATGATTAACTTCTGGCTTAAACCTATGTTTATTCCATGCAGGTTGGCTCCACTGGTTTTATCAGACAATTATTTCTCCTCCTGGAAATTGATGATAAACAGCATCTTGTGTATGTGTGGATTCTCCCAGATAACCCTAGTACAAATAGGCTATGAAAGGGCAAAATCCACCTTTAGACAGCGTATCTGGAATATAGAATATCCCAGTTTTAGGAAGTTTGGAAGGAACTTTTGCTAGACTAACCTATTTGGCCAAGCTAACAGCATCCAAACTCAGGTTAGCCTGTTTTAACGCCCTTCCCTCTGCTGTTTTGGAAGGAAAATATAAGAAGCTCCCTTATGAGAATTGGACATGTTTACGTTCTGATGCTTTAATTGAATCACTTCTGCCTAGTCCCAAAGAGTCTTAAAAATGTGACACACAGACCAGCTCCTGCCCCTAATTTTCTTTCTCCCTTTTAGACCAAGTAGGAAGTAAATTTTAAAAGTCAGCTGGGTGTAAATTAGCTCTTTTTTTGCTGATAGTTTGGGCTCCATTTGTCTCCATTGTCTGTAAATTAGTCTTCCACAGGAGAGTAATCAGACGGCTAATATAGACACAGATGAAATTGGCCATTGTTAGCTATTCAGTCTCTGTAAATAGGCCAAAGAGAGCCAGGTCTCTTACCTTTGTTGGCAGGGCACAGGTAACAGAAGGATGATGGGATAGGTGCTTCCCAAAGGCAGTGTGTGGGTTGAGTCATTCATAATGCTACTTTTATTTTTAAAATTGGTTTTTAAAAGTATGTTTTCTAAACAGCAAAGAAAAAGAGAGAGAAAACCTCTTTCATTGGAGGTTTTCAAACAGTGGTTAGATGGCTACTTCATAGGAGTGTTTTAGCATTGGATTCCTGCATGGCATGGCAGGGGTTGGACTATTTGGCTCTTGGGGTCTCCTTCCAACTCTACAAGTCTGTGAAAGGAAAAGGGAAATATCTAGGATATGAATAGGAGCTAGCCATAGACATTAATATATGCTGACCCTTTTTTTCCAAACAGTACATATTCTTGATGTTTGCATCTAGAAAATCCACATTCATGTCTAACTAAGGCATTCAAATCTTGTTACCATTGAACAATAAATAGATTATGGATGTTGCTCTTTCCATTCTTGGAACAGAAGTCTGTTTGCAGCAGTAAAATCACGCAGGATCCAGCCTCATTGACTATCAGATCCCACATCGCAGATGAAAATGTGGATCTGTAGGTGCCTCAGAAATTAAGACGTGGCAATGCATCCCATCCAGAAAGGGGGAATGCTTTTTGAGGTAATCAAAAGAGGGATTTGCTTGCTACAGTCATATCCTGATTTGTGGTTTTACTTGGCTATAAATGATGGTTGCATTATAATGCATAGAAAAAGTGGTCTCCTTTCCTGGATTGGGAAAAACTTATTAATTTGGTGTAAAGCCATGAGCAACTGGGTGAACCATTCTGTAGCTGTGATCCTGAAGTAGTGAATAAGGCATTGGATCAATAGTTACTCCAACATTGGCATAATAACACAATCCTGCAACTCCACATTGTGACCCTGGTGTCCTTTGATTGATTGATTGCACTTATATCCCGCCTCTCTCCCAAAATGGGATCCAAGGTGGCTTATGCTCTGTCCTCAATCAAAATGGAGACTGTGGTCAGGAAATCGGACGAAGACCAAGATTTGCAAAGACTGCTACTAAAGAATGAGATAGGATTCTAAAGTATAAAGGTGTAGCATAAATTTCCAAAGTCAGGCTCATTCATGGTATCCTATTTCTAGGTATAGTTGTGGAAGCTGGGCAGTGAAGAAAGCAAATAGGAAGAGAATACAGTTGGCCCTCCACATTTGTGGCGTTGACTTTTGTGGGTTTCATTATTTATGGCTTTGGTTAATATGTCCTCTCTAGGAATCTCTAGGTCCTCCAGTGCAATTCTGCTGGGCCTTGACCATAGAGTTGTGCTGGAGTGAAAACACTTCTCTGGGCATTTGTAGTTCCTCCAGGATGATTCTGTGATCAACCTCTGGCAGATGTTGACCAGAGAGTTGCCCTGGAGGACCTGGAGATTCCTAGAGAAATCTTCTCTCAGGTAAAAAGAATAGTGGTTGTTTTTTTTTATTTGAAGGTTTTCCACATTTATGGGAGTCCTTCACCCCTAACCCCAGTGAATGTGGAGTGGCCACTGTAAACCCATTGGAAATGTAGTAGCGGATGAGAATCGCATGGATACCAAGGACTGCCGATTTGAACAATAAATGGGTCACAGAACAAATCAAATGTGAATTCTCCCTAGAAGCCAAGATGACTAAACTGAGACTGTTGTATTTTGGGTTTCATAAGACGACAGGATGAATTAGAAAAGGCAAGAATGCTTGGTAAGGTAGAAGGCAGTATTGCAAGTGGATAGACTATATCAAGGAAGACACGGACGCCCTGAGTTTACAAGACCTGAGCAGGGCAGTTGGTGACACTTGGAGGGCTTTCATTCACAGGTCTGCCATGAGTTGAAGCCAACCTGTTGGCACATTACACCAACATCAACCAGGGAACAAGGTCTTGGGCTCAGTCCACATCTATGAAATTCTTGCTGTTGCATCTCCACTTTGAGTCTGTGCCCTTTCTGACTGTGTTTCCATTTTGCTTTGAGCACTTGGGGAGGATCATAGCAGGTTTCTGCAAGAGAGGCCTTCTCTCCACTCCCTGAACTACAATTCCCAAACTACTCTTATAAGTTTCCCTGATATTTTTTTCTACCAAATGAGATGGTTTGGTGTTTTTGAAATGAAGTGGCTTCTAATTTTCCTTGCTTGCTGTCTTAACTATTTCATCGATAAGGGCCTTCCGCTAACAAACACATCTTTGGTCCTATATATTCCTCTGTTTGATTCCATTGTTCAAACTGTATGAATTTATCGGGGAAGGAAAAATTCTGGGTATAAAAGGAATGGAAATGA